TTACAGCTGTCATTATCCATTAAAGGCAATAAAAGCCCCCAAAAAACAACAACAACAAAAAAATTATATATGTATATACATAATTGTTCTCCTCTAAAATCAGTTTAGGTATTGGTCTCAAAAATCCCATGTTGGCCAGACACTAATATAAAATAGCTAATATTCTGTACTTTTACTTAAGTAGGAGTTGAATGCAGGACTTTAACTTGCATTGTTACTTTATTAAAGATCTGAGTACTGTTTGTATTCATGCATAAAGCCTAAAACCTACATTAATTTCCAGGTGTTTACCTTCAACACAGAGGAGATCGAGAGAGAAGGGTGAGTGTGTGAACATTTTACATCAAGTCATACAAATATAAAGTATGCAAATGAAGGCAGGTGCAAATACATACAGTGGAAATGCATGTCACCGCAAATGCAAACACCGATGTCCATATGTGTCATGGCACATGACACACAATTTTTTTTGTTTTTTGTGTGTGTTTTCAGGAGTGTGTTGGTGAAGAGGATGTTCAGGCCGTCAGATGAAGAACTGTGTCCGTCCCCTCACAAACAGATCAAAGAGGAGACACACAAGAGAGGTACAAGATGGCGGCTTCCTCCTCTGCTTTTCTTTTCTCTTTTAAACTGACTTCAAGAAATCATCAGTGAAGGACACAGAACAGAGAAATACCTGCTCCAATCTAATGTGAAATGAGGGAACACAAACCAGACCAAAGCCTAGCTTTTGTTACCAGGCTGTAGTCAGGCTTTTCATTTCTAAGGTCATTTATATTGCAAAAATAGCAAACACATTCTTGTTTACTAAACAATCTCACCCCAACATCCATTTAATAGCCGTTCATCTGAGTGAATCTTTCGTAGCAGACTAGAGTTGAGAGTCAAGTTGTCCTGGGATTGTAGATGTTCAAATTCATCTTTTCACCTGTGCACTTTTAAGGTCATGTTGGTGTCAGATTTGTGATGAGAGTTCTTTCATTTTACACAATCTCCCTTAGTGGGTTGTTGGGAAAGTAAAAATAAATAGCCCAAGGTGACCTCTTTAAATTGCTTTTTTTGTCCAAAAACATGAAAATACAAAAATATTCAATATACAATCATATAAAACCCAGGGAATCAGAAACCCCTTACATTTTATATGCTGGATAATAAGTACTAATATATAACTACTAAATTATTAATGATTAGTTTCTGTAAATTGATTGTTTTGAGAATTATTTTATTTATTTATTATTTGGTGATTATATTGTTAACATCACTTTATAGTCTGGTGACTTGTGATGGTATTTCTTATAATTTCCGGCCATATATAGTTATAATAACTAATTCATTAAAATACAAAATGTGAACGTGAGAAACACCCAAAGATCTCTCTCTCTCTTTAAGTGTTTCTCAATATGAATTATACAAACTAATACTGTAGCTAACAGGTGAATGTTAATTATTCCTCCTCGGTCTGCAGTGCTGTTGTACGTAAGGAAGGAGACGGACGAAGTGTTTGACGCTCTGATGCTGAAGTCTCCCACGCTGAGAGGCCTGACAGACGCCGTGAGTGAAGCCTTTCTGATGACGTGAGAGAGCCAAGGCACAATTTAATCGCAGCACCTGTTCACAAACTGCTCTCATTTGTCATTCGTAGATATCAGAGAAGTACAGCGTGCCCCCCGAGAGGATAGCCAAAGTGTACAAGAAAAGTAAAAAAGGGTGAGTGAGGAAGCAGATTGCAATTTCAGGCCTATTTGGAGGCTCGTGTCTCCAAAAAAGCATGAAATTAAACTTCAAGTGTCTTTCCTGTCAGGATCCTGGTGAACATGGACGATAACATCATCGAGCATTACTCCAATGAAGACACCTTCATCCTCAACATCGAGAACTACGCAGACGCCTACAAGATCACGCTGACAGAGATCTGACAGCTCGTCAGCCGAACCCTGAAGGAGCTGAGATGCAAAAAGGGACGCTGTGACTGCTGGTTAACTGAAATCTACGAGGCTGCTATTGATTGGCTGATAAGCTGACTGACAGTATTGGAGACAGTCAATTGGCGGCGTCGCTCCGACGCTCTGAAGTCAACGTCGACAACACCCGGTCCCTCTCTGACCCTGTTACACTATGAAGCGAGGCGTATGTTTCTGTGCAGGAGGAGGACGCGTATAAAAAAAGGGACATTGTAGAAATTCTTATGAACTGGTTATATTTTACTTCCTCAGCGTACTCATCCTCTAAATTGTGAGTATGAGATCCGTGTCCTCCACAGTTTTTATTGTATAAAAGAATTTCTACTTATTCTCATTCTGTACAGTCTTGTGTTTTTGCCAAATAACACATCAGGAGTAGCTTCATGAAATGCCTGATGTATTGTATGTAGCCGCAGCTTGAATTAGTTGGTCCTAAGTAACTTAGCAGCTTCTTTGCATGCCAGCCTTTGTTTTTTTTTTGTTGTTAGTTGTGTTATTATTTATTAATGCTTTTAATGATCATGTTTTGCATTTCTTTAGCAATTTATCAAAGGATTTCAAGTACTTTACATTCCAGTGACTTTTTTATTGTCACCCTACCCACCCGAGTACTCAAGGAGTTTTTTTCAATGGCTTATCTCTATTTTTTCAGCCATGTTGTACTATTCACGTGTCAACAAATAGCCTAAATGTTTGTTTGTAGGAGATGTAGACGACTTAAAGAAGGCTGTAAACAACTTCTGAGGGGTGACAAATGGCACTTGGCTGTTGTGTAGATCTCATGCTGTATTGAAAAAAATGAATAAAGACATAAACATAGAGGTGTCATTTTTAGCAGCTCTGTGAGGCTCAAGTTTCTTTGAGCTAAATGCTAATGCTACGTACTCAATGATCACAATGACAATGCTAACATACTGATGTTAAGCAGGTATACTGCCCTGCAAAAGCAAAAAGCTGTAACTACAGAAACAATCAAGAGGAGAAAAAAGTTTTCACGATGGCCCAAAAAAAAACCACATGTAACATACACAAATGTTATTATGCCTTCATCTGTGCATGACTGTTTCTTTATATTTAATTAGTTATTGTCAATTAACCTTTTTACCTCTGTCACTATATATGAAATACACTGGGATTTATATTGGTTGTTACTTTTTAAGTGCTGATTGTATGGCCCTGTTCACAGTGGGTGGGCTTCAGATTGCTTCCCTCTTTGCCATTACAAGCATACAGTGGGTGCTGAACCACATTTTATTTCACCTTTTATTTTATGTAAATGATTGTTGCCTCCCCCTTTTTCAGCTAGCCGTAGCTGTTGGGCACTGCTCTTCATTTCAGTGCTGGGGTGTCTTGGTCCCCCGTGATGGCCATCATGAATGCCCTTCTTGTTTTGGCTTGGTCATTCAAAGACCCGGCGGGTGAAGCAGGGATTCAGATAAAAAACTCCCCAGCCACATTGCCCAGCTGGTCCTCTGGAATAACAGGGTCAGCAAGATGACACTCAGCTGTAATTGGGTAGAGTTGAGGTCCAGTATCCGGCTACAGGAACCTTAAAGAGCATGGATGCTCGAAGGGATCCTTCCCTGATGGTTAACCTCTTAATCAAGAGGGGAATATTGATAAACCTATGCTCAAAATTCACCATTTGTAAGACATGCAGTCAAACTATTCCGTCTCAGTAGGCAGTTAGAGAGGATCCAGTTTAAGTGGCAAGATTTCACCCACTGTTCTTCCTTCAGCCTACAGGGGTGGCTAAATGCAACTACCCTCTACCCAAGGTGGGACAGAAAGATGAAACTTCAGGTGACACGTCTTGAAGGTTTACACCCATGGAGGGACGGGGTGATTTTGCTCCAAGGAGTCCCTCTTGAGAACATTTCCTCAAGAAGCACATTGGTAACCATAGACAGGTTGGACAGCAGTCTGTTAAGGTTGGTTGGTACGTGGGGTGTGGAGACTGACTTTGGGGCAGCGAACACATCATCGTCTTTAAATTAAGAGCTGTTCCCCTTTCTCTGAAGGCTCTCCTCCCTTCCATTCAGGGCAGACATGTCTTGATAAGAACAGTTCCCCCCACTGTGTATCACGTAAATCACCAGGGAGGCCCCGGGTCCCTGCCTCCAGGTGGAACAGAAACTCCTGTTTTGAGCCTTTTTAGCGTCTGGCTTTACTCAGGGAAATCTAGGGGTTGTAAACTGAGCAGCCTCCTGTCTGAGGCTCCAACCAGAAGTGGAAGCCCTCTAATGGCCTCAGTTCGGCACGGCTCAGACCGACCTATTTGCGTCAGCAGAGGCAACCCATTGCAGAATGTGGCCCTCCCTTATGGGTCAGGGAGGTCCCCTTGTCTCTAGAGCGGCCAGAAGGATTGTTTTCCTCTGATTCCCCAGGTACAGATTTCCATGGGTGATTAAAAAGTGCTGTTAATAGCCCCCTGGTGGCCAAGGATGTACTGGTTTCCAACACTTGGCTCACAGTCAACACTGGGCCCTATTAGTCAGGGTGGACCGTCTCTCCCAGGCAGAGGGTCAGAAATGGCTCCCCAAACCAGCAGTCCTGCAGCTCTGGGCTTGGCCTCTTCTCAGAGAGGGCTCTTTATTCTTCATCATGATTTAACTACTGCCCCATTAGTGGTGTGGGTTATCAAACATAATTACCACAATGTCTATTCATTAAATTGTATATTCTTGAATTAGACTGGTCTAGTTGGTTGTCTCTGTGGCAGAACTATGGTTTGGTTTCAGACTTATTTTGTATTAACTGTATTTCTACATGCTGTTATAATTTTATAAAACAGTTACATACTGGTCTCAACACAATGTGCTTGTATATTTATATAGTATACAGTTTACTATGTTCAACATCTTAGTTTGGTGAGCTACAAAATAAATACTTAACCTGATGGGGCTGTTAGGCTGTGTCTAAGTACAGGTTATTCTCTGGGAACCATTAAATTTAATAGCAATCCATCCGACGGTCCAACCGACTAACCTACTTTCCCTTGAGCCACACATTATGTATATATATAAAAGGACAATTGGCCATTTTCCCATTTTGCCTTTATTTGAATAACAAAATGGACATTCTACTCATAACACATAATGCATTAACAATACAAAATCTACAAAATGATACAGTTCTTTTGTTCGACAGGTAATAACTGTACAGTATAAATGGATACAATACTGTTTTTTTTCTTTTATTCAATTCATCTATATTTGGCACTTGACCACAAGATGCTACTGAAGTGAAGTGTGGGACTGAAGTACCAGATCACCTACTTGAAATGTGCAGAAGCCCAGATAATTTATCACAAGTGTTCCCCCCCACAGTCCTCATTCATCTGCCTGTGAAGACGACTGTATCGCATGATGTTTATAGACCAGCGGGGAGAGGCAGGTGTGAATGAAGTACAATGTAGGCAGTAAGGAGCTTTCAGTAAGCCCTTGAAAAACACAGTGAGGTCTGGTGGATGCTGCCGTTACTTGCTAACCAACGTCAGTGCTTTGTTCTGTTAGTTGAGTATATGTTACTGTGTGTCAGTCATAAAAATAATCTCCATTATCACAGTAAATTGTCTGATAGTTGTATGAAATCTGGGACGGATGAGGAACAGATGTTGCACTTTTGGAGACTGTTTACACATCATTTATGCACAGTACAAGAAAAACTTAAGCCAATGTTTACAGGCTCCCTGGGAAATATGATGTCAGTAGAGGGATGGGGGAAGACTTGGGGTCAAACTCTCAAAAAAGGTAAAAGGAAGCTACATACACTAAAATGTAGCAGCGGATATGCAAAGCTGAAAGTGTGGTCCTCTCCTCTTTAACCTCTCTAGCATAAATATGAGTGAATATACTGTACATCTTTCTTTTATATCATATTCGTCAAGTAAAAGAAAATAAAATGTCATTAATCATCACATTCCAATAATTTATATAAGTGAATTTCTTCCATTGGAGCAAATCGCCACAATGTTACCACAGAGTAAAAGAATATACAAGTACATACTATATATTCATATTAACATCTAACTTTTTTCTTTTTTTTTTTGCTGATACACTTATTGAACCATAGTTAAACAAAAAGAATCACAGCTCGGTTTATACGCATATGTCCAGTTCATGTATTCATCAGTAAAATGAATGTGTGTGTTTTCGTGTTAAGTGTGTGCGTGTAGATTTGTGCGTGTGTGTGTGTGTGGACACAGAACTTGGCATAAAAAGTCACTTTCAAAAAGAACAGATGGTTGTAATCTGTTGTCAAAATATTCCCCTTCATTTACAAATCTCAGTCAGTTTTGGTTTGATGTAACATTCCTCCAAAAGTATACATTTAAAAAAAAGAAAAAAAAAACATTTTTCATTTTTAAAACACAATTTCCCAGATCTCCTGTCTATATAAACCATACTGTAAGCTGTGAACATTTGTAGTCCCAGACTCACATACTTCATTTCATCCAGTGTTAATGGAGTAAGACTGCAGTATTTTGTAAAGATCCGGCCATCATCACACAACAACTCGAGTCAGCAACAAAATAAGCACAATTCCCTTTAAATAAGGAACAATGCTTTCAAAAATAACAAATAAAAGAATAAAAAGAAACAGCAAACTTGGATTCGGCTCAGCGTACCTCACGAAATCTGTTGGATTATCCTTGCTGGCTGTCTTCTCAGACAGAGATAGCACGGCTTTGATTCAGTGTTTAACAAGTCTTTGATGGGATTTCAGTCCTTTGGGTTATATTGGTACCGTATACGAGACCCGTGTTGTCTCTAGCTTCTGACCAGGCATAGAGGCACATGTACAGAATGTGCATGTGAGTGTCTGAAAGATTATATATGCATCAGGCTTTTGGTATTTGTAGTATGTAGAGTTGTATGTTGGCTAAATGTGTGTGTGTGTGTGTGTGTGTGTGTGTGTGTGTGTGTGTGTGTGTGTGTGTGTGTGGCGTGTGTGCGTGCATGTGTCTCTATAGGTCAGGTGATCAGATGTCAACAATCTCAGATGGGTCAGCTGGGAGAGATTTCTGAAAATGTGTTAAATTAATCAAAATGAGATGGGGAAAGTCCAGAATTCTACTGCCCAGCGCTGCTGGGATCGCACTGAAGCAGCCGGACAATGGAGGGATCGTTCTTCGCTCCCTCAACAAACTCCTCAAGGGACAGTTTACCTGAAAGGGAGAGAGCGAGAGAGAGAGAGAGAGAGAGAGAGGGACAGATTAGAGCTTATAAACAATTGTCTTGTTTATTCATTGCAGCAGATCTCAGATGATCAAAAACAGAAAAATAAAGAGCAGATATCTTCCCTGAAGTGATGTGACACATTATTTTATCAGGTCTTTTAAATAATATTTACAGAAATACTTTTCTTTCTAGTTAATTAACGGCTTCAATTTAGACTGCTAGAGTGCTTCTACAGATTTTCACCAGTGTTGCCAGATTGGCCATCCGGTTTCCCATGACGAAAATATATTCCCATAATCCCATATTCCCATAAATAGGCCCATATTCTCCACTATGTGGTATAATTGGGAGTTCAGTGAGCTCGATACGCAGAAAGAGACTGATAACTGATCGACCAAACCAAATTTCAGTTCATTAGAACTACGGTGAAACTGTTTTCGTATTAAAATCATCATATGGTCATAGCTTTCTGATATAAACATGTAAAAGCTCACATAAGTGAAGAGCTATAATGTTTAAAATAAAGTTATCCACAGAGACCTGAGGCACGTTTGAGGCTCTGATCGGGCTATTTTGTGTCAGTCAAACCCGGTAGAACTGAATTTGATTAGGCTGGTTGAGAACTGTACAATAATACTGTGACACTGCTTTCATAGACTAGATTTCCAAAGTAATTTTTATGAATTACTTTCATTTAGAGGCTTTAAATAAGCTACTGTTTGAACAGAAACAGTGAAACGAGTGTCTGAGGAAGTCTTACCATCTCGATTTGAGTCCATCTGCCTGAAGATCTTGTCTGTGCGTTTCTCAGGCGTGGACTCATCCTCAGGCATCTTCATCACAGAGGAAACCATCTTGTAAATAGCCTGAAGACAGAGAGAACAGATCATTTACATAAATATTAGTATGGAATCATAATTAATAACAGTTAAATTAAAGCTTTTTGGTCAGTTAACTCACTTAAATAACACCTAAGTAACCTCTAACTAAAAGTAGTTTTAGTACATTTTAATAAAGACAACCATAAAGAGCCAGAAGCACAACTGCAGGGTTGTATGAAGCAATGTTGCATCAGCTGGATTGTTGCATGAAAAAATAACATCTCAGTGAAATATACAGTATATACGCCCTATCAGTCAACTTATCTCTTCTGGGAGGAAGATAGATAAAGGATTACTTTAATTTAGGTTTGGCTCTGGGGCCTGATATGACTGCAGGGAAATGAACAGGATGTCTGATATTAAATAGATGATAAATTGACAAGAGTGAATGTGTTTGCCTCACTGTTCAGGTTTGTTTTGAGATATTTAAAGCTGAAGCTGTTAGTATTTATTAGTATTGTTTCCAGTGTTTGGCTTTCAACCTGCCACGCAGTTAGAATCTGTCAGATCATCTGTTGTGTATATCTGACTCCATCGCACAAACACACGCAGTGATTGTGATTAGGGGCTGCAGGTGTCAATTGTATTTATTATCAGTTAGTTAGTTGGTGTATTGGTTTGTTTTAATGAGATGATCAAACACGTAATCTTAATGAGCAGCTCCAAGCCTCTGAGAAGGTGTACTTAAATATTTGGCATTTGTAATAGATGAATAAATAATTCATCTTAATAATTTACATTTCTGTTAAACCACTAATCGATTCATTCTTAAATTGAATATCTTTTGGACTATCGGTCAGACAAAACAGGAAATTTGGCCACAGATTCTTGGTAACTATTATTTCATGGATGTGGGAAGTAAGTGAGGTGTTCCGTTAATCTGTTAATTATCAATATGTATAATACATTTATAATAGTTCCTGCAACGTCTTGCAACTTGCAGCAGGTAAGAGCTTTCCCATCGCTCGCAAACACATTGAGGTGTTTTGGAGAGACACTGATCGTCCTGTCAGACCAGTCAGACCACTGGAGAGAGTTCAGTCCAGTTGTATGTGCCTCGGTGTGCACGTGTAATCTTCTCTCCTGTATGAAATGGCTGTATCCTCACTGCCCTGCATCATAATAAACGTTTAAAGTTTAATGCTTGACTTCAGTGTTCTTGACTGCGTATCTGCTGTGGATAATTTAACATACAGTATGTTGGTGTTAGTTTGCCGTCCGTCTATAATTGGTGTAAAATGTTGTTAATCACTAGATATTATAGACTAAACAATCCATTAATCTGAAAAAGCTAATTATAAAATAATTGATGGATCTGTAATGAAAATAATCAGATGTATCAAGGCTACACATAAATACACCTGCTCACTTTACAGACACCTAAATAAAGACTTGGAGGAAGGGATTACACATTCTTTGGCACTCTGCTCCATTTAGCGCCGGGATGTGCGATGTAACAACATGTGTAAGGGACTGCTGGTGCTGGTGCTGGTGCTGGTGCTGGTGCTAGTGTGTGAGTGAGTGTGAGTGTAAGCCTGCTTGATACTATTTGTTGTAAAGTAACCCTGGAGCTGCTGAGGAAACGATGGGGGGGGGCCACTGCTCTTCCTAGAATCGCTTAGTTGTTTGATACAGTGCTGAGTCAATATGAAGATCAGAAGACGGCCGCTCCCTTCTAGAAATACACCACAGTCAGGTCTTATTTAGAGACGTCTTAGGGCCTGAGAGGGACTGCTGGTTTCTAAAATTACACAGCAGCTGGTTTTCCTGCTGGCAGTCAAATGGTGCAGAACACAGAAGCAGATGGATATATGATGTAGCAGCTGGTGTGGATGGCTGAGCAAAATGTTGCTTCACAGCGCAGAAGTACTTATAGGATCAGGGAACATGTTGTTACCATGATGGCATGCAATGGCCACTGAAAGTCTGAGGGGGTATATAAAGCTAGAGAAGCAGAAAGTCTGAACGGTTGAGAGAACAAAGCATGGAGGGAAATGAAGATAAAAGGGACCAAAACAGACTAAACAATAACAGTAAACCCACCGTTACAATCTCCAGCATCTCTGCCTTGCTAATGTATCCATTCCCGTCCAGGTCGTACATACTGAACGCCCACTTCAGCTTCTGGTCCAGTCGGCCACGTGAGGTCACACTCAGGGCGATGATGAACTCCCTGAAGTCTATGGTCCCATCTCCGTTGGCGTCAAACGTGCGGAAGACGTGCTCGGCAAACTTGGAGGCGTCTCCGTAAGGGAAGAAGTTGGCATAGATCTTCTTGAACTCCTCCATGGAGAGAGCGCCGCTGGGGCAGTCCCGCAAGAAGCCCTTGTACCACTCGGTGATCTCATGCTCGGTGAAGTCCGTGTTCTCCATCAGGTCCTGCATGACGTCGGGACGGAGCTTGCTGTTCTGTTTGCCCATGGTCGCTGCTTCTGTTGAGGCTGTGGGTGATGTGAGGGCAGTGGCAATTTAGACTGCTGAAAGAGAGGAGGAAAGAGAGAGAGAGAGAGAGAGAGAGAGAGAGAGAGAGAGAGAGAGAGAGAAAAAAAAAAGTTGTTAGAAATAATCTGACATGACCTTGAGCCTTTTTGATACAAGAGGGGGAGGGAAGACGGGTAGGAAGGACAGTGATGTAAAAAAAGGAAAGAATAATTTCACACATAAAAATCTGGATTAACCGCTCCTGTAAAAGGTAGCAGTTTCAGGAGTTTCCGAAAACAACTTTTGCTTTTCTTAAAAACATATTTATTAAACAAGTTTAAACCTGCAATAACTGGCTTTCTGTGTGCTTGGGGGCTATATCTGTAGCTGCTGAAAACGAGGCTGATGAGAGAGGCGATAGTAAACCAAAACAAACATTGAAGTTGCCAGCCTGAAAGAACCTAGGCAATGAGCCGAGAGACGCTCAGAGTTGGGTGATAACTCTCTGAGGGTTTGTCATTTGAAAAAAAAAAGAAAAAATGTTTTGATTGATTAGAGGAGCTTTAACCTTAAACAGCAAATGCCACATACTCAATGAGTGCCGCTATATCTTGGGTCATCATCTACTAATTAAAGTGCTCATGAGACAAGATGCTTCAGGATCTGCTTGGTTTACCGACTCTGTAGAGTTTTAGGATGTCAAAGCGCCCTAACATTAAGCTGTTTGCGTCAGTGTTATGACAAAGATCTGTTTTTGAAACTTGATCTACCAGCACCTGGCTCCCATTAACTTTAACCTCTGTAAAGAAATACTTTAAATGATGGAAAATATGCAAAACCACCTACAGTATTCAGTACAAACTGGATTATATAATAATTTTGTTGATTTAATTTAGTTTGGTGTAAGCTTCGAGACTGTTTTTATCCTAAATGGATTCTTTTTCATTTAGTTTGTTGCCGTTTCATTAGTAAATGCGAATAAAAAATAAAAAGCAATGACAGTGCATAGGATAAAAAGAAAAACAGGGAGATAAAATTGCGTATGTGGTCTTGTGCACATGCAAATCCAGTCTCCCATGCACCTGCGACACAAGACCACCGTGTTTTCGTGACACACAACTACCGAAGATGCACAACTACACCCACACTTACAGTGTTGATAACCTCATGCATGCCAATATGTCAGTGCACTGCAGATGCACCTTCTTCCATTTCCTGCAGGAACTATGATGCCTCAACACACACATGCACATCCTCTGTATTAAAAGTAGAGAGAGTGTACTTACTCAGTTCGGGTTTTGAATGAAAAAGACTAAAAAGTAAAGTCCAATTTGACATTCCAGGTGCATAATAAAAACACAGCTGAATGCATATACATGAATGCTAGCCACAGAGCTGATCCAACTTGTCTGACAAAAAAAGAAAATCACGCTCCTCCGTAACGAATGAGTCGCTGCAGAAAGTGAAGAGGGAGCCTTAACACTCAACAGAGGATGCACTTCATCATCTAACCCTGCAGCTAATAAGCTTAGCACTCCCCCCCATCAGACCAGCTAGCTGCTGCTGAGCTCTCCGGGCTAAAGACAAGAGGGAAGCTATTCTGAGCTTAGTCGTGGATAATGACTGTTAAAATCAGTAATGTCAGGTCAGGCCAAAGAAAATTACCGTACAGGTATGTTGTTCCAGAAGGGGAAGTAATGATCTGTCAGCTGTGTGTTTCCAGTCAATGTTTGTGGCTTCTCTTACTTTGGTTAAAGAGCTAAAATATGAAAGGGATGGTTCATAAAATGTAAATAAACAAACATGTAAAAAAAAAACAGCTGTCTAACTAATATCACTCAAAGCAAATGTCTGTTTATGTTCTTAAGATGACCCATTGATTAATCAAGACTAAACAGGAATTATGTCTACTTCCCTGGAAAGCTTCAGTAGGAATAGGCACTTTCTGCCAATAAAAATGAACTCAGAGTTAATTTAAAGTGCTTCTAACAGCAACAAACACATGTACATAAGCAGAGGGTATTGGAAACAGGACTATTCTACGTGAATTAATTTGGCAATATTTTGGCAGTTTGAATTAAACAGCCTCCATTTTCATTAGTTTTGTTAACTGCTAATGCAAGGACTCTGTCGTTGTCTCCCTTCCCTAAATTTCACTCTCACATGTTCCATAAACAGCCAGCTATAATCCTTTAATTAACTCAGAGTAAACAGTGAGCTCTAGCAATGTGGCAGCTACCTCTAATGAGTTCCCTGCTGTTACCTATAGTTCAATTCAATACCAGCGTGAATGCTGGAGCAGCAAGAAGGAGATTAACACCTCTTTAGACAGTCATCAATCCTGGAAAATAACACAGCAGCAGCTTCACGGGGGGTGGGGGGGGGGATGAGTTCAATGTGAACTGCTCATATACAACCTTAAAACTAGATAAGTTACAAGTCTTAGTAAATTAACTACTGAAATATTGAACATACCTTACAAACACTTTTGTAGGTGTGTTTAAATTAAAATCACTGGTGAATACACACAGGTCTGAACTCAAAACATGCAACACAAAAAAAACTAAAATATATGATATAAATAAACAAAAACCAAGTATACCAAAATATTGCCACTAGAATAGAACAAACTGACAGTTTATTAGCTCTCAGTGGAAAATAATATATTTTAGAAAGCCCTTCAGCCACCAAATTAACTTCTTATATCTGTCATTCAAAGTCTAAATGCCATTTGTGGCCAATCTTCCATTTTGGCTTATTTTGGCTCTTTTTCTAATGTATCCTCGTCTCTTAAAATTATAACTAAAATCACATTAGTCACCCCTTTTTGGTAGTCAGTAAGGACCACACCAGCATCCGACCTGACCCAAGTGACATTTGCAGGTATGCTGCGGTTTAACGTGCTGCAGCTGAGCAGCTAATTAGCTACTTTTCCCTGGTGAATGTTTGTTTGGTTGCGCGTTCAACAATTGACCAACTATCTGGTTTCCATTGAGGCAGTGTAAGAGGTCATTTCTGTCCACGGATCAGCCAGTGTGACTTTAGAAAAGAAACTTACTATACCAAACGAGACTATAATAGATATACTCACCACAAGCCTGGTTCACTTTAACAAATAAATCATATTTGATGTGTATCTATCCACTTTTGTACAGAGCATCTCAGTACAGAGCGCACACACACACACACACACACACACAGACAGACTGTCATTCAGCTAATCAACCAGTCGATGTCGTCCAGTCTACCTCCATTCTTTTAATTCATTCTTTGTCTGATGTGGTGAGCTGGACCGCCACGTACTGTGCAATCTGCATTTTAATTGCTTAATGGATTGTGGAGCGTTTTCCATGATTATTGGGGCTGCGTTGTCATGACGACTGACCCGTACAATCACTCTCTTTCTTCTCAAAAAAAAAAAGGCAAACAAAAACATATTAGTTTACATAGCACCTTTCATTCACAATAGCGTTTAATGACACTTTCTGTGCAGACTGACAGCTTGTTTAATTGTTTGCTTTTAGCTGCGGCTCCAATCACACAGGAGCCTTTCAGACAGACTTTTTACATGTTAATGTGGAGGAACAGAGGCGACTGCAATGTTTCCCTGCCCATTACTCTAAATGAGGAAAGGAAGGTTAATCAGTGTTGTTCTCACCAGCTTTACAACAACAACAACATTGGTTATAAGATATATTCAGCCAGAGGTTTGATATGTTTATGTATAATACAGATTCAAGATCAATGTGAAGATGATTTATCTGATTAATTGATTGTTCCTGTTTTTTTCTCACCAACTCTCTAAATCCTAAATATATTAAATGTGCAAGGAATTAAAACAGAGGAAAGAGGCAAATCTTCATACTTAGAAGCTAGAAAGAGCCACTGTTTGGCATTTTTGCTTGATAAATGACTTAAAACTAACATTACTGACGCTTAGTTTTCTATTGACTGATCGATTAATCTGCAATATGTTTCAGTGCCATTTTAAACTGTTCACAAACCGAGGGGCACTTGCACAAAACAAGCAAAAATCTATCAATTAACTGAATTAGTAAATTAAATAGATACTTCAGTAGGAATTATGGTAAGCTTTTTAATCACACCTCTGTAAGACTTTGCACCCCCCGCCCCCCACAATAAAAAGAAATAGTTTCCTCCATTTACTAATAAATCAAAAACGCCAACTATTCCCTGATTCCAGCTTCTCACATTGGAGGAATTGTTGCATTTCTTCATAGTAAACTGAATATCTATATGTTTAGACAGTTAAACTCATCACCTTAGGCTGCGGAAAATTATAATTTTCACCCTTTGCTGACATTTTCTGGAAAGAAATTGAGCTGACAGATTGATCAATCATAAAAATAATAGTCAATTGCAAGTCTACTGTGTTATAAGAACTGATATTTGTCTCACACTACAAGCTAAGTATTTTTCTTATTTACAAACATCCTGCTGGTTTTACACGACTGGGTGAAGTTTCTGTGCGGAGTTTGCATGTTACTCCGTGTGGGTTTTCGTTTCCTCCTACAGTCCACAGACATGCAGGTAAGCTAAATTTTCACTGATGACTCTTTTCAACGACTGGAGCTTCATCAGAGCAAATGTTGTCCTGTCCCATATTTTCCTTGGAAACACTTTACTTTACGCTCCCGTAGTCAGCATCTAGAGTCAGTAGGGTTAATAAAATGTACTCAATAAATGGTTAATAACACACTATAATGTAGTTGTAAGCACATATAAGGTCATTTTAGGTGTTTATTGATGTACAGTATTTGTCAACAAGTGCAAATTCTCCTATGAATACGTCGATTAATAAACACTATATTATAGTTTGTAATATACCATTTAATAAACATCTATGTACTCCACACTGATTGGGTGGTTAAAATAAAGTGTCACCTGGCCTCTTTGTCCTGGCTGAAGGTTTCAGTGTATTTTAAAAGCAGAGATGATGGGATGAGAGCTCAGACCTCCACTGAACATCCCTTCAACAAGTCACCCTAAGAACTCTGCTATTTCTGGCTGTCAGAGATCACTGCCGACAATTAAC